TTCAATAGGTTTTTGTTCTCACTTCAATGTCTGCCAACTGATCAATGCCGGATATTTTATTTTTGAGTGCCATTACTTTTTCATTAGAAGTTGTACCACAGTCACGTTGTCAATTATTCATGTGAGAGAAATCTATAGGATATTCATCTGACAGTGTTGAAGTGTGGAGACTGATTACGTCAGACAAGCCGTCTGGTTTTAACCCAAACACAAGTTACATGATCATTTAATGATGTGATTTGAGTCAAGAGAGTTTTACTGAGCTGCTACTGTGTCAAAGTGGGAAAATATTCTTGTTGGAAGTTATATTTTTTGATATTGTTTTTTGTATGTTTTTATTTGAAAAAGAGCTTCTGTAGAGCAAAGATAATTGAAAGCCTGTTTTTGTTTTTTTAATTATGCTAAACTACACTCAAACTTGTTAAATTCGGATGACTTAAGGTATAAATATACACACAAATAAACGTTCCTTTCTATATGAAGACAGGTTCATTCTCTGTGTTTCCTTACCATTATATCATTCATCATGAAATCTTTTTCTGTTGATGGAAAAGTCATGTGAGTTGAACACTGTAATTAACTTGATCTCATCTATTATCTGACCATTCACTATGAAATGACCATGAGAGGCACTCGACCTAATTGACTACACTGGGTAAATGTACTGGACATGCCATTTGAAGTCCACACACACACACACACACACACACACACACACACAAACATACACACACATACATCAGCGTACTCATACAAGGCTGTTATCTTACCATTACAGAGAATGCTGTTGTTATAATTAGATTTGGTTATAGATGTATATTTATTTCTGCGTCTTCCTGTGTCTCCTCTGTCTGTCTACCACCATTGACTGGACCATTTACTGTCCATTTGAGGAAAAAAAGCCAACTGACACTAACTGTAGACAGCCCGTTGAAGGGTCCCATCCTTCTGAGGTGGATCTCTGTCTCTCTGTTCATAAAGACTTAAGAGCCAAGTCAGCTCTGCCTTTCACTCAGCCAATAAACACAGCCGAGGGAGAACAGAGGTAGGCTGAAACACAGACTAGAGCAGCAGCAGGGAAAATGAAGATTATTTCACATAATGTATATTAGTCCCATGACCTGGAAGTGTATGGACATGATAATCAGCTCAGGTAATTGAATTTATGAACCCCATTTTCCTGCCATAACCATCATGTGCAGACATCACTTTCCCACACAAAGTTCATATACTGTACCATGGTCATTAGGCTTTAAAGCCAATGTCAAGTGAACGGTGTTCTCTCCAACAGACGATATTTCTGCAAAATATAATCACAGAACTGTTCAGCGGAGCCAAGTTCAGAACAAAGATGAAAAGAAACAGTGATTACGATGGATTGCATTTAGGTAGGCTTCATTCCACGGGAACAATGCACCTCGTACTCCAGGAATGGCAGCAATTCAATTATGTCAGTTTGGGGAACACAATTACCTTGGAAAGATAAGGAAACATATTTCAGAATCAAATGTTCTTTTGATGAAGAAAAGCCTTCGAAATGAATTTGTTAATTAGTTAATTATTCCACAAAACAGGATTTAATTAAACACTGCGTGATGTGTACTCCACACTGGATTCGCTGCAGCTCATGCCTCTCCGCGAGCTGAGAGCAAAAATAGAACATAATCGAAAAAGAAACTTCGCAAAACTGGGTGACCTTTTGTGGGAAGAAGATCTTGAGTTTTTTTTTCATTGTTAATTTGAATAATAGATTTTTTTTATAGAACAGCAGACTGTTACCAACACATACAACAATGTGAGGTGAGGATACAATAAAACCACTGGTTATTACACTGGAGGTTTTACCTTACATCTATTGTTCAGAGCTGTGGACTTTTTCAGCAAACTTATTTTTATCACACTGAAGCACTCTACACAATGACATTTCATGTTAATGGTGCACTGACGTGCCAGTACACCGTATATCACTGTACTCCTCAGCCACAGCATTTATTTCTGGTTATTAGCCTAAAAAGTCTCTTGTCTAAACTCATTTCTGGCCACACCACAAAACTGCTATAAATACACAACATCTCCCACGTGAAATGGGCCCACTGTACTTCACAAGCCTCACCATGTGGTATCTATGGTAACCACTTACAGTAGGAGAAACTGAGTATGTGGGTTTCCGCAGTTTTGTGTCACACCATCCAGAAATGAAATCTCTTACGAGACAAAGGTGAGACATTTTTGCTGGGTTTTTCCCAAAGAAAAAAAAACTGACTTGAATCCTCTGCTACCATGAGTTAAGGGTAAAGTGAAGTTCATATAAGACCCCAAAAGTGTGAAATTAAGGAGTTAAGTTTTTGTTACATTTTTGTTACTTGCTTATAATTAGTGTGGAGTAAAATAAGCTGGTTTGAATTTGCCTTTGTGCAGTGGTTGAGTGGTCAGAGGATGTGGTGTAAAAAAAAGATTTGCTTTAATAACCTCATTACTGAAGTTCTGCATTAAAAATGAAAAAAAAAAAAAACTTTTCCAAAGTTACTTATTTGAAAATCTCTTTTTCAACCCACGTATTGGCAGACGAGCAACAGTATGAACCGAACAGCAGGCTCTTCTCCTTAGACATAGTGCTGCTGCACCATCTCTAGTGGATCCGATGTCAGGAAGAAAAAAAAGAATCCACTGCAGTTTCCATGGAGACCAAATCATATCATAGTAAGGTAAAATAAATGTTGATTATGAGAAAACTGCTGTCCTCAATGCCTTGGTTGACCTCTCAACTGACTGCAGCCAAATACTTCTCATAAAGTGTGCAGAACAACAGGGCGACTGTTGGAAGTACAAAGACAGCAGATGAAAAACAAGCAATAATAAATAATAGGAAAAGTCAAACAAAGGGTCTCATAGAAATAAAAAATAATCTATTTGAGGGGGAGTGCGTCTAAAAAATCTAGAAAACATACAGATTGAATTGATTAATGCAAGATAAATACGTTTTTTTCATCAATAAGATTTAATTATTCTCCAATAACTGTTTCTGTAAAACTAGAACAGATTGATGAGGAAGGTTGTTGGTTTGATTCTTGACTAAAGGTTTTTCCATCAAACAACTGAACCAACCTGCATTTACTGACACAAAAAAAACTGTTTAATATCACTTTGTTTACTTTTGTGGAGCAAAAGAATTAGGAGCAAAAATATTCACACTGCTGCAGCAAAAACAAATCTTTTTTTTGTGTGCCTCCACTGACATGTTTATTGCACAAAAGAAGAAGAAAAGATTAATTGAGCAAAACAAAAATGTCAACAGATTGCAACAGATTGCAAGGAATTCCAAGGGAGGGAGAAGACGCATCTGAAAAACAAACAAGCCACAAAAATATATTGTCTTCGCAGCTTTGTTTGTTTTAAAAGGCTCTATGTGGTGGTGGGTGGGTCCAGGGTTGTATACTGAAATTCAACGATGATGAATCAGTTATGTTGAAGTTTGTATGCCGTTAAATGGCAACAGTAACAACTTCATGTTAGCTCTAGAGGTAAGTATGATGCATTGACTTCTTCATATCACGATGTAAAAGTGAGATGAAGGCAAATTTATGAGTTGCACTTTTACAGTTATTTCTTGACATTTTTCCATATTACTAATCCCAGCACTTACTAAAACGGGTGTGAAACCTACATCTACCTGTACCTGCACTACAGTAGGTTTCATGTGTGGCTGTGGCCCTTTGTCTTTGAAACCTGCAGATGGCATAGTGGACAGGAAATAAGAGGCCAACCACTGTGTCCTCATCACTTCAGATGCCAAAGCACCAAGTGAGGGACTTTTGGCAAAGAGCCACAAATAATCCTACAACCTTTCCC